ACCTGCCAGCAGCTAGTGACTAGATTGATGCTGAAGGTGGGAACCATCTCTGGGCTGCACAAAAGGGAAGTGAAACCTTCTCTTTTCTGGAGATTATGAAAGGAGTTTTAAAAATTCTTGCAGCTGCTGCTTAAGCAGAACAGTGAAATACTCTACATTTTCTATAGAAACGTATATCATCTCTTGAAATAACATATTCCCTATTGAATGTGAATAACCACCAGAACAACAAAAAACTAGGGTGGCAAAGCATGAGAGAGGCCTTCAGCAAAGTGCTTCCTGTTGATTCGCTAAAATTGTGGGGTTTTTATTTGTTTATTTATGTGTTTGTCTTATACATAGGCTGCATTTCTCCCAATAAAGGGACTCAGTAATGCTGCCATGATAGGGTTACTGGTATCAGTAATGACCAACAGCAGTGCAAGATGTGAAGTGCCAATACCCACGATGACCCACCTTGCCATCCTTTGAGAGATGAGGGCAATTGGAAATGGTTGCTACTGCCTCTCATTATGCTCATTTACTGGAAGAGGGTATGAGAAGGACAAGCTTACTGCAGATGTTAGCAACAGTAGAGTCTGTTGGGGTGTGACAGGTGAGGAAAGTTCTCCAGTCTGATTTTGTTGTGCTTCTTTGTATCCCACCTGCATTTTCTTCCCACCATAGTTTCATATTTGGTTGTGAGACTTTGTGTTTTCTTTCCTCCCTGAAATTCATGGCCTTTCTTGTGTGTTTGTAATGTTTATGTGTCTATTTATCTGCACACTTTATCTAATTTATAAAAATTGCCCCATTGACTAATGTGTGTTTATGTATACACATACTTTATACACATTTTAGCCACTCCTATGTTAAAATGTGCACCACGTTTGGGTTGTGCTTTATTTTTTCAAAACACCTGGTACATACGTGTGACAATTCCTAAGGCAAGAGGCATTATCCCCCCTTAATGAGAGGAGTGAAAGGCTGCGTTTCTCAGGCCTGTGAGAAATCCAGTGATTTTCCCCCCCAAACCCTAGGTGCTATCTGTACCTGGATTCTGATTCCAGGTGTATAAAGTCAAAGTGTGCAAGGCTGATTTTTGCTAAAATAGCACATTTTTATGTTGATCATATTAAATACTTGATCCACTTTCCTCCTGTGCATGTGGGGTGGGAATAGTATCACTGTACCTACAAAAGATGATAGACTTCGAATGCTCACAGAATTCATTGCCCATGACTGTTCATGAATAATTCAATCATTTTTATATCAGAGTCAATTCCATAAGTAGGAATTTTGTACTATACCGACCCCCCCCTTGTCTCTTCTAATTATAGGAGACATGCAAAAGGGAAGAACATGACTTTTCCATGGAATGGTTTACTTTGGAGTAAATAAATACCCTCTACACCTCCGACTGTTACAGTTTGAAAAGAATTTCCAAGCTCTACCAGCTATATAATTAAATGTCCACAATGTTCCTTAGATTTTGTTTTTCACAAGTATAAGTTGTTCAGCTCTGGGTAAAACCTATCAGTATAAATCTCTGTCAAATTCTCTTTGTCAACAAAGGCTGGATTCAGACATGGCATGAATCAGTAGTTTGTTTAACTGAACCAGGAGAATCCAATCTTTCAGGGATCACGAGCTGCACTTATCCCTCCAGAATTATTTTCGAACTACATGAGTACATTGAGCTGCATGAGTAGACTAGAGAATAGGACAGCCCTGCTTGGGGCAAGGTGTTCTAATCAGCAATTCAGATACTGGCTTTCTAACCCCATGCATAGCAAACTAAGCAGAAGAATACAGCAGGCTGTACCAGGTACTACCACAGTTATGAACACTACCAGAAATAATGGTCAGAAACCAATTATTTTCACCTACCAACCCAAGTTTATTGGTGTAATTTTCAGCTGTGAATTGCCACAACTTAAGAAGTTGGCATAAAGATTTACTGCCACACACCAGTTGCATGACTCAATGAGCAACAGCAAATGCCTACACTGATTTCTTGACTTGCAGCAATGCACAATTGAAATTTATACCAATGAACTCAAAGCCAGCATAAATTTTCAGTTGTATTCTGGTTAATAGTAGTATTAGCAGCAGCAGCAGTAACAATAATAATAGTTGTACAGGGTTTGCAATGTGAGTTTTCCTCCCCCCCCCCAGAAAAAAAACATCTTGTAGAAAGAAGCAGCTATGGTTGTGAGGACTGAATAATACAGGATTGAGTGGTGGTAGCAAACATAAGAAAGGTTAGTAAGGTTCAGAAAAATCTTTGATTACCAAAGATAACACAAAACTATAGTTTATACTAATTTGATGAATTCAATTTGAGTTTCCAGGTGTATCAAGCATTCAGATCTTCTCACTACCTATGAGTAGGCGATGTCTAGAGGGGCGGGGCAAAAATCAAATAAATAAATAAATAAATAAAATACAAGAAATAGTTACTGTTTTAGATGAGGAATAGGTGAGGAATAGGACAGTAATATTGTTCTTTCCTAGGAAATTCTTCCCATGTGAGTCTTTCTGCTTATTTAGATATCATATGAGGTGTTTCTCTGGATGCCAAACCCTGCATCCTACCTGGAGATCAGGATCTTAAGAAATCTTATTTCGAGAGAGGCTGACTGCTTCCCATCCTTGCTACTCTTTCAAAGGCAATCTTGCTGAGCCCTTACTGGTATTCTTGGCACTTCAGGCTTTGCTACCCTATTGGTTAAGCTTGGGTCATAGGGAGAGGGTTAAGTTTGGGTCAAATGGGAGAGGGCAAAGCAATGAGAAAGAATACTGGACTGTGTGGGCCTAGTGGGTATATTGGTTCCATCCCAAGTCCACTGTTTTGTGTCACCTCCCAGTGGAGAAATGGCTAGATGCACCATAGGCTAGTTAGAAATGTCTAGAGGCACCATAGGCTAGAGCTATAAAATATGCAGGGAAATTATATTGCCAAGCTGTACTGAGGTGGCACAAATGTGTCTGTGCACTTCCCCCAACAAGACAAATTAGAGGGGGGGGGAGGACAAGGGAGAGAGGGGGGACCCCTGACAAGGAAAGCCAATAATGGAGTGATACTAGTATCATATGTTTCTACAGCTAAAACAAGTTCCTCACAAGCCCTTTGCGGACCAAACCTCAAAATGGCTTGGTTAATTAATTGAGCTATGATTGTAACAATGAAGACATAGGATGGGGCAAGCCTGGGCCTGAAGAACTACACAGTGTGGGTCCCTGATGTCTATAAAGATAGCACTTTACTTTCCCCGTACATGTAAATGGCCATCATTCAGTTATATGGAAGAAACTCAGTAATACTGTTGCCTGCTTTCTTTCCTGCTTACTCTACCCACTACAAATTCAGCTCACTCCTACATGAATAGCCCTGGTGCCATGGTCTCCCACTCCACACTGGATCTTGTTGAAATATTGGAAAGTGCTATATCTATTTCAATCAGTATAGTCTTTTAATTGATGGAAGATACCGGTTGCACAAAGAGGAACGAGATGTGTAAGTACCAAAATTGTTACTCAGTGACTGAGTGACACCCTAGTGCAGCAGTCACTCCAGCTCTGGCATTTTTGTAGGCAGTCATAGGACTGGGCATTAGAAGGTTTGCGCTTTTGGCTTGGGACATTTGATTGCTGTTGTAGCGTGCAAATAACAGATAGCTGTAATTGAACTGCAGTCTCCTCCTTCTCTGTGGATACACACATGTGAAATAAATGCTGGTCCCCTGAATGGTTCTAAAGCTCAGAAGAAGTGGGGAGAGTGGGAAGAAAAACTGTTAGCTGTAGCACAGTCCAAACCTTTTGAGACAATCATTGCATAATAACTGCCTTTCCTCTTCACCACCAACATCAGCAACATCACTACTCTCTCTCTCTCTCTCTCTCTCTCTCTCTCTCTCTCTCTCTCTCTCTCGCACACACACACACACACACACACACACAGAGAGAGAGAGAGAGAGAGAGAGAGAGAGACAGACATAGACATAGAGAGAGAGAGAGAATGGTTAAAACTCATGTATGTCTTAGCCTGGATTCCATTACAGTATGCCCAGGAATAAAATACACCTTTTTATGAAAAACAATATAGGAAAATTGCAGACAGATCAAGAAAACAAAACAGGTTCTTTCTCCATTTCTCACAATGTCCTTTAAAAAATAATAGTCCTTTTTCTTTTCCATTCTCAAAATGCATGGCATTCCTCACCCTTGAGCCTGACTGCCAACCTTCCAGTTTGAGTGTACTGTAATTTGTTTCTGTCTCTCCCTTCACAATCTTGATGGTGTGAGCAGGAAGGCCACCCACCAAGCTAGCAGCAACTCTTCACATTCCCTAGGGGCAAAGTGACCCCCTGCCTGCCTGCCCCTGCAGGACCTGTTTATTGATCTGTGCCCCAGGGAGCCAGAGAGCTTGAGGAGAAGGAGTGAGGCCCTGAGAGAGACGGGCCATCACGGTTTCCTGAGAGTCCCAATATCCCCTTCCGCCCCCCCCCCCAATAATGTGTTTGGTGGTGTGGGTGGGTGAGTGGGTGGCTGGGAGGTAAGAATTCTGTGAGGGGCTACCGGCACGTGCTGAAGGAGGGGATCCTCAGGGACGCGGGAGGGGGTGGAAGAGGGACCCCTGAGTTTCGATTGGTGAGATGGAAGCATAATCAGAGGAAAATGTGCTCCAGAGAAGAAAGTGTGTGAGGGAGGGGGAGAGGGAGAGACGCACGCGCGCGCACACACACATTCAGTGTGACTCTTTCTTTCTGTGTGTGCGCGCGTGTGTATGCAAGTGCACGAGTCAGGGAGGGAGAAGGAGGGGGGCTGTTTCCCCTTTTCTCTCTCTCTCTCTCTTTCTCTCTGCCTCTCTCTCTCTCTCAGAGCTCAGTTAATCCTGCTGTCAGTTGGTGTTAAGGCAGCGATCTAAGCGCCGGATTCCTAGAGAAAAGAGAAGGAGCGCGCATCCTGCAAAGAGGGAAGAGGGGACGCGACACCTCCGACAGAAAGAGAGCGAGCGAGCGAGCGAGGGGAAGAGAGAGAGAGAAAGAGAGAGGAAGAAGGAAAAAAAGAAAGAAGAACGAAAGGAACCAGAAGGGGGGAACTACCAAATCTATGCTTGGACCTGGGCTTCTTTCTCGCCAATGCAAAAGGGAATATGCAGCACATTTTTGCCTTCTTCTGCACCAGTTTCCTAGGGGCAGTGTTGGGGGTTAATTTCCCCAGCAACATCCAGATAGGTGAGTCGGAGTCGAGCGTGGCATGGCTTTTCCTAGCCCTGTGTGTATGTGCGTGTAATGCGGTGTGTGCGCGTACACCCGCGTGGGTTCTGAGCCTTTCCTCGCCTCCGTGGGCAGAGGGGAGAAGCGGGATCGGGGATCCGGCTCTGGCAAACCGGCGGGGAGTGCCTTCGCCCGGCGGTCTTGGCGGGAGGGGCGACGGCGGGAGCCGGAGGGACGCCTACCTGCCCGCGCGCCAAGTGCCTGAGGAAGCAACAGAGCTCCACACCCTGGACTCCGCATTTCGTGGGGGCGGGGGCGGGGGGGGCTGGCAACCGCTTCGCCTTCCCCCCCTCCACGTCTTGGGGAGGGGAGAAGGGGGCGCCGTGTTTTGTTCTCGTCTGCAGGTACAGCCTGTTACCTGAGGGAACAAGCTGGGCTCCTTCGCCTTTGTTGTTGTCGCTGCTGCAGCTGCTGCTAAGCAGAAGCAGGGCTGCCTCAGGAAGATATGCCATCCCGCCTCTGTCTTCGCCCCCTCCCGCCCTGCTTTGCTTTGCCGCCCCCGTCCCCAAAATACCTCCGCCGCTCGCCCGCCCTCCCGCCGCCGCCCTCCGAGCTCCTTGGCTGGAAGCGAGTCCCGTCTCTTCCTCCCTCTGCCCGGCGTCTGTCGCTTCCTTTCTCTGTGCCCTGCCCGTCCATCGCCTCGCCTTGCCTCCCCTCGGAGTGGGTGGGGATGGCGGCGAGGGTGTCGGGGTGGGGAGAGAAAGAAAGCCCAACTCCTGGGCGAGCCCCACACGCCGAATCGGCGGCGCTTTTACGGCAGTTGGACCTTCCCTTTTGCCGCCAGCCTTTGGTCCCCCCCCCGCGGCGCCCCCTCCCCACGATTTCGTCGGGGCCCCTCACCCTGAAACAAACAAACAAACAAACAAAAGGTGATCCGGGGAAACGAGCAGGCTGCCGTTTGACACGCCTTCCTTGGCAACAATATCGAAGCGTGATTTGGACGGTTGCTATTTGTTTCCTTGTTTATTTATTTATTTCCGTCGGGTGCTCAAGCTCTGCCTCCGCAGCGGGTGAGCGCGGTTATGCCTTCGCGGTCAAAATCCAGGGAAGGATTTTGAGTTCTCTCTTCGCTGAATGGGATCGTTACATCAGACGATTAACTAGCTTAAAGGCCAGCAGAATGATAACGACAATAATAATAGCGACAGTAATAATAAACGTATGCATAACCTGTTACAGGATAAGAGGAGATGTTAGCTAACGTTTCCTTTGTAATTCTGGTAAACTCGAATGTACACCAAAAGTACATAATTAAATAAATTAAAATAGATCCAAAGGCACTTGTATAGTTGGATCCAGTAAGCATTTACCATAAGCACAATATTCTGGGATTAAGGAAAACTCTGCTTGATCTATTTAGTATCTTCTTTCTCACACTTTCTCATATCCTACAGTAGCCAAATTTCTCCACAGTCCTGTTCTAATCCTTGGCACTGGTGACATCCCTTACTGGTGGGGGGGGGGGGGGAGAACAAAGGTTCATGAGACCTATCATTTTGGAAAAAACCAAATTAACTGTTTTCTACATTCAGACACTCTCCATTACTCAAGGGTAAATGTTGCTTGACACATGACAGATCTTAATCCTTGTTTAGCTCAACAGCAACTTGTTGAGTAAACATTCGCTGTGTAGACAAATACTGTATGTGGATGCACATCTTGTAAAGGAGAAGAAAAATGAGTCTGCCTTAAAATGAGGTGTTTGTTTAAGTGTCATTGTCTTTGACAGTGTTCATTTTTAATCTTTAAAATGATATCCAGTGGTCTAATTATGTTAAATCCCTTCCCAGTGCCTCATGCCCTAATCTACACATCATTTAGGAATATATGAAAAAGCATTTGGGTTTTGGTGTGTTCTGTGTTGAGAACCACTGTAGTATAGCAGATAGAGTGCTGGACCCTAGACTCAGGAGACTTGGGTGTTTATAAATCCCCATGTGGCCATGGAACGTACTGGTTAGTGGCAGTGATAAGTGGTACATATCACATATCTCAAAAGTGTGGTGTTTGCTGAAAGGGTTGCTATAAATTAGAAGTGACTTGATAACACATCACAATACAATCAGACAGTCAAATTGCATTTGTCAGCCTTCAGGATGCAACAAGAGTCTTTGTTCATTTTGTTCTTAGCATGTGACATAGCTACCCTTCTAGAAAATTGTTTGGAGAGATTTTGGTCATTAACCTGTTAGAGGCACATGAAAACTATATATATTAAAATGTAGTCATGGGACGTCATTGTCATCTAATGTTCAACTTCTAATTTGTTTTTCATCTTTCATTTTTTTAGGGGGATTATTTCCTACTCAACAATCCCAGGAACATGCAGCATTTATGTTTGCATTGTCTCAGTTCACAGAGCCCCCCAAGTTGGCTCCCCAGATTGACATTGTGAATATTAGTGACAGCTTTGAAATGACCTACACCTGTAAGTAGCAATTACCCACTGGCAGACGTTTATCTCTCTCTCTCTCTCTAGGCTGTTTCTTCCTCCTCTTTTGTCTGTGTCACTTGTGTCACTCTCACTTTCGAATTAAAATTCTCTGTCAAGGTCTGTGTGATGAGATTTTTTATAAGAGATCTTCTCTCCTAATTCTTCTTTTTATTGTTGCTTTCTTTGGACATTTAGGCAAGTGGTATATTTTTTATTTGAAATTAAAGGGTCTTTGTTGTTGCTTTCCTATTCTGCCCCCCCCCCCCAAGTTTGGGATTAGGGATCTGCTCTGGCACATACTCAGCACAGAAAAAGAACTGGGATGCATTAATTATTCCATGCATTTTTATGATCTACACTTTAGCCATGCAGCATTAAAAATATATATTAAGTAACCAACAGTTTCCAGAGGTTAGTCAGACATGAGTAAAAGGTCAGAGATAAAGCTAGCAGTGCAACCAATAATGAAAGTAAGATGAGAGGTCTGATCTAAAACAGTTATTCTTAAACTTTTGTACTGTGAGCGGTTAAAGTGTTTCTGAGAATAAAAATGCGCAAGCTAAGACTTTCATAGCAGGCTTTGTAAAACATTGCTTCAGAAATCGGTATGGTTGGGTAGGGTCATACGGTGCCAGCAAAGTGGAAGCCAAGATAATATTTTACTAGGCCAATTATCAGTGGGAAGATACATAAAAGGAACTGAGAAACAAAGCCTCCACCATTAAAATGGAAATGCTATCAGACTATAGTCTTTGCAGAGGACCTCATTCTCAGAGGGAAGGGCTTGATTTGGTATGACAGGAACTCTTTTGCTTAGTTCTCTGCTGCATTAGACATTCCTGGGACTCACTGTTGCCCCTGAGGAATTTTGTGTTTACTTGTATCATACCTGTTGATCTCAAGAATGACCTAGAAGTGGAATTTCTGTAGGAATCGCCTTCCACGCATCCTAATGAATAATTCTCAAGTTCCCATATATCAGCCAGGGGAGAAACTTTATAATATATGTAATATTGTTTCTTTGAGCATGTTGTGAGCATGGTGTTAGAAGAAGAAAAAACATGGAGAAAGCAGAAATGCTTACACTGCTGGCTCCTGATAGATTATAATGTCCAAATACTGGATTTGAAATGCAGCAGTCCTATATGGTAATGGTAAAAAAAGGCATACAGTATCAGGATAAAAGGATGAATCAGAACTGGAGGTCCTGGATAGGTATAGTTCTGTTGAAGGAATAGGATTGCATTTTTTAAAAAGGGAAAATTGGGACTTGTTGCATGCAAATAAATGGACCCAAAAGAATGGTATCAAAACCAGACCAACTCCAGGGAGATACAATGCTGCTAAAATAAAGATTAGGAAAATTATCTACAGACACTAATTTTTTTTGTCTGATAACAAAATTGCAGTTTGTCATAGAATGAAATTTGCTATCCTTCCATTTTTCCACCAAAACAATTCTTGACTTTCTGGGTTACACTAACCTTGCTGGCATTTGAATTTACAGTCTCCTCAAGTGTGCTGCCAATGAGGTCATATAAAATCAAACTGTGCAGTGGTGACTTTGACTTGGTGGTCCCAGCCCTGTGATCTTATACTTCTATTATGTCCCTAATTGAGTTTACATAATCAACACACACCTGATTACATGGTGAATTACTACTGTGCATGACAAAACTATAAAGTCCTACTTCTCACACCTTCCAATTCTAAGGGAATGGTAATAGTGACTAATTTTAGCTAGTTCATGCCATCCCACTGCATTCATTCCAGTTTTTGTATCTTTAAATTAAAAGCTCCCATTGTGTTATTCTCCAGGAAATGTAGACTTTTAATAACAAAGCAGCTCATGTAGGCCTTCCTTTGTACCTCTTAAATTCACCTTAGAACTGAATGTAGACCCTCTTAAACAGCCTGTTCTATAAGTAATGCAGTGCACTACTCACCATGATGTCCTAGATAACCTCTGAGATCCATTCTAACTCTGCATCTCTGACTCCATGATTCCTTTTATCCAGTACAACTCCTAACTGCATTGGTGAGCTTCCCTTAACATATTAATATATATTGTTCAAGGGACTAGGCAAATGAGCAGTTGTTTCCATGGAGAGATTGAAAAGAGTCTTGATGATGGTTGGGTTTTGTTGTTGTTCTATTACTGTTTGTCACATGAATTACCTTTGTCCCTGGATGCACTGTCAGAGGTATTTTAATTTGTAAAGCAATTGCAAAAGCAGGTCATTCTTCTGCAAAGCATGATTTTGTATTGCCTCAGCATGTACTCTTCTCACATTACAATACAATACAAACACTGCAGTAAAGAGTGGGAGGGGGTGCCCCAACACCCATGTGTCCAGTCTAAGATTCATTTGAGGATTGGCTTCACATCAGAAAAGTGTCAGTAGGACTGAGGAACATTTAATTCCTTTTCTATCTATCTGTTCTTGTCTTGTTTTCCAATGCTCTAGCTTCAGATATCAAAAAGGGAGCTGGTGTGTGCAGAAGAGGGAGCAACAGTCCTACAGGGCTTTAGAAAAAAGAATTAGTGAGAATACGAACGGAATTGTACAGCCTTCTTTCTTGGCCTGTCATTTTCCATTGTAGTGTTTCTCTGGGCTTCAATAGGTGGTTTGGACTACATGTTTTAAGCAATCAAATTTTGGGAGCAGAAATGTGAATTGCCAGGAATGCCCCTTGAAAGTTCATGCAAGGAGCTGTCCTTGCACAGAAGGTTAGCAGGCATATAATGGGACTTGGTGAACACCGCTGTAAATGAGAAGTGAGAATGCAAAAGAAGCATGACAGCAACATCTCTCTTTTTTCACTGATAGCTCTTGAAAGTAATGAGTGGGAAATGGGGCAAAATGATAAATAGGTATGTGGAGGAATCCATTAAAAATGTGGTAGTTTTGCATGTGGCAAAAGTTGAGAAAGACAATTCCTTGACCATCAATGGTGAAGTGGCAGCACACAGTGTGAAAAAGCACCCACTGTCATCTAGCAGGTAATAATGACATAGAACTGAGCGATTCATATAGTGGGACTGACACCTTGTGCTGACAAACAATAAGCCTGAAGCAGTAATAGATTGTTGCATAGCTGCCATAGGATCTGTTAGTGAAGCACAGCAATAACAAGCTGGTTATATCTGATACATTTGAATCTGGGCTTTTTTACATAGCAATATTAATGCTACCAAAAAGGGGTGACAAATTGTTCAGAAAGGATACTTGTTTCTCCAATAACATTAACAAAACAGTGTAGGCATATAAAGATGGGAAAGGCAATTTGTGGCCTTTCTGATATTGTTGCACTGTAATTCCCATCATCCCTAGCCAGAATATGCAGTGGTGCTAAGATATGTGAGTTGCTGTCTAGGAAGATGTGCATGACCACAATTTGCCTCACCAACAGTTTAAAGCAGCCATTCTCGAATCTTTTTTCAGCCATGGCCCTTTTAGGAGCTCTTCTCAGATTCCAGGGCTACCTGTCAAACAAATCTGTGGCCTCCTTCAAATGAGGTGCTTCCATGGAGAATGGGGGGTTTAAAGGATGACATATCCCATTGTAAAGCTACACACAAACATAAAATTATTTAGCTCCCAGCAGTGTGAAGCAAGTGGCTCCAATGGCAGCAGGTAGAAAATTTGCTTGTGGTTTTAGCCTGCGCTTTGCAGGAGCTATCCAGGGTGCTGAACTTTAACCTCCGAAACATCACTGGCTGCTGAATTCTTTGAGTTCTAATTGGAAAAAAGTAACATTTTTAAGCTCCAAGAAAATTATGGAAAGGGACGATATGTGAGAAGATAGGAGGTGAACAAATTAGAATTAGTTTGCAAGATCAGAAGTAGCACAATACGGGCAGTTAAGGCTTTTGTTATATACGTAAAAACAGAAATGGTACTACCAGTCATGCAAAAGCGGTATAATCAGAACCAGAGCATTCAGAAGCACAACAATTTTTGAAGTGTAATTAGGGTGATTCCCTTCCCCCATCCACAAAGAACTCAAGAAATGGAAGAGACTGGCTGGAATTCCAAACTGCAATTTTTATTTTCCCCAGAGCATAGTTTTCACTATGTGAAGGCTGCATATGGTTTTTTCATATGTTGAGATTATCGAAGGCAGTCAGATTCTTTCAATTATTTAAAGATCTGTTATCAACAAAAACATGGTTCAAATACATTGTTTTGTCTGGTGTGTTTGTTGCTCAGTGAATACACACACACACACACACACACACACACACACGGAAAGAACACTGTCTGAAATGCTTTTGTGCACTTCTGCAAACAGTGTAACTTATAGAGATGAATTGCCATAAGAAATCTCTGTAGACATTATCTGTTTGATACCGAGTGGCAGAGAATGCAATGGATAATGTCTATGGAGATTTCTTAACTTATGGCAATTCACTTCCAAAAGTTACACTGTTTGCATAACTGAACAAAAGCATTTCAGCATTAAATTTCTTACAAAGTTTTTGTGAGTAGAATTTAGACCCTGTAATAATAGTAGTAATAAGACCTAACATGAGGCCATAACACAGACAGTTTGAAAGAGTACTGTGTACACAGATCAAAATGACAAAAATGTAGGTAAACAGAAAATAATATTCTGTTGAATATCTATGGTTGTGTATTGAGCCCTAGTTAATAATAAGAAGCTGATCATCCATAGTGTCCTATACGTTCAGTTGATATATGTAACATTGATCTGACTGCTATTAGGATTTTATTCTGGAGTAACTGAAGTAATAATGCTTATAACAGTGAATTGCATGTATGTGTGTCTATTTCTGTGACTGGTATAATTTGTTGTTGCAATTTATGTAATTTATTTAGGAATAAAATCCCAGTTGGATGCCAATCATTTATTTAATTTGTTGTTACTGCTGTTCTGCTTTCAACTTATGCCAACTCTATGAAGGAGTAACTTTATAAGGTCAACAGCCCTGCTCAGCTCTTGTAAACGGAAGGTTGTGGCATCCTTTA